CGCAGTGGCTGGCAGGAAACAGAAGACACACCACACCACAGCAGCTGAGACAAACATACACAATTGGTTCCTCTGACTTAATTGACAAGATAAAGAAATGGATTAAACATTCTGGTGGTGCCCCCTGTTGACATTCTTTAGACATACACATTAACAGGACCTGTGCCCTACCTGGTTGATCTCATCCTGGGTTGCTTTCAGAGACTTGATGATGGTCTCTAGTTGAATCTTGCCTGCGGCCAGGCTTTGCTCCAGCTGATTCTCCTCTTGTTGCAGCCGGCCCAGGTCAGCCTTGGCCCGGCTCAACTCTTCTTCCTGGTTTAGCAAGTCTGACTCCTGGGAGTGGATTTGAGTCTGGAGGCTTGAGATCTGAAGGCAGAAAACGGTGGCAAAAAGGATTGGGTCAGAGGTTAAAACCTGCCAAGAGACCACTCTGTGCTCGTTGCTAATTATTTTACATTAATCTGTTTGATGTCTTCTTTTCTTCTATTTTGCATCATGCTAGTTATCTCAAGGTAATTTTGACTTCAACAAACAAACACTGAAAACAGCATATTAGAAATTGAATACATTAATTTTCAGGTATTTTGATTCTGTGATTGTTGTAGAATAACTGAGGCAGTACTCCACAAAGGGGAAACTTCTACATTATCAGCATCCTTCTCTCCCTCTCTTACCATCTGAGACTCTTCCTGGCACTTAATCCGGACTTCATTCAACATGTCTTCTAATTTGTGTTTCTGCTGGTCCATCTCCTCCAGCCGGTCCTGGGCATCTTGTTTCTGAGCTTCTAACTCCTGCAGGCTGGTTGTCTCTCTGTCCAGGTCATTCTGCATTTCCTGATAGACAATAACAACTGTTGTTGTGATTTGGCGCTATATAAATAAAATTGAACTGAATTGAATTCCAGATATGCTGCCCTGTGCTTCAACAAAACTGGGCTGGGTGAACACTTGATCAATAAAGCTGATTCTGAGGCTAACAGCTCTTTGGGAACCACCTTGTTAGTTAAAATTACAATTCTACACATGTCAAACTGTGTTGTTTTTGGCCATTTTGTAGATTCACCTAATAACATGGGAACAAATTATTTCTTTTTGTAACAAACTGATAGTAACAAAGTGCCTAATGACTCTTAGTTCAGTGTTAAGTGGCTGAACAAATAAAAATAAATATTCCCCTGAAAATGGTCAAGAACTGTACTGAAAATGAGTAAAAATGCAGTCAATGTTCAAAGAAAAACTTTAAAAGGCCTTGAGAAAGCCTATACAAGTACTGCTCAAGGCCAATTTAAAAAAATAAATAAAAAATATTACAATATAAAGAAATGAATGGTGGCTGAGTACTATACATGTACATCAAGGACAGAGTGTCTCATTTTTATGTTGAGTCCACATCCAGTTGCTACCAACTGACAAAAAACAAGCTGTCCTCACCTGCACCTCGGCACTCTTATGTCTGATAGCCTCCTCTGCTTCCCTGATGTCCTGCTCAAGAGTGTACTTCTCCCTGGACAAAACCAGAAACATTCACACAAACACAGGCACATTGATTTTCTTATTTTAAAGGTTTATAATATGTATATAAAATAATTACAGAATAAGAATAAATAAATGAAAAGTGTATTTCACTGGTGCCAATTTAAAAAAAAAACTTTGTGTGCAACTTGACAGAAGAATCATATAAAAGGTATTTTTATTTCCCAAAACAAAATAAGCACATCTATGTCTGGCAATGGATTCAGGTCAGGCCAATGTGTTGTTACACGAGGCCGGGCATTGTCAGGCACCATGAGGAGCCACGGACCCACTATACCATGTCTGATAATGGGTCGAAGGATTTCCTCCTGATGAGTAATGGTAGTCAGGGTGCTGTTGCCTAGCCTGTAGAGGTCTATGCGTCCCTCCATGGATGGATTTTGCACTTAGACTGCAGGCTTTCTAGAGTATTTAAATGTAGAATGGGACGCAGAGCCTTCAGCTTTCAGGCCCCTGTCCTGTGGAACCAGCTTCCAGTTTGGATTTGGAGGGAAGACATCCTCACTACTTTTAAGATTAGGCTTAAAACTTTCCTTTTAGATAAAGAATACCGTTAAACAACAGTAAATGATGAGCGTTCTCTCTAGCTACTATAATACTTGATACTTCCCTTAGGTTGCAATAGCTCTAGGAGGCTGCTGGGGGATTCCCATGAGGCACTGAGTTTTGCTGCTGGGGGAGTGTTTCCTCTTCATGCTTTTTTTTTCACTTACTATGTGTTTAAACAGCTCTCTGCATTTAATTATTAGTTATTATTAATGTCTGGCTCTCTTACACAGCGTGTCTTTGACCTGCCTTCTTCCCCTAACCCCAACCAGTCGCAGCAGATGGTTCTTCCTTTTATAAGGGGTTTTTCTATCCGACTGTCACCAAAGTGCTTGCTCAGAGGAGGTCATTGTTGGGGTTTTCTCTGTTTACTTTGTATTATTGTTGGGTCTTTACTTTACAATATAAAGTGCCTTAAGGCAAATTTTGTTGTGAGTTGGCAACACATGAATAAAACTGAATTGAGCTGAACTGGACATGCCTCTCATCACCATTGTTGACCTACTCCTAAATTAAACCTGCTCACATCTATGAAAAACATCGGACGTCAGTGGTGGACCTGCAATTCTGGTATTCTGTGGTAAATGCTCTTCGGGCTCCGTGGTGCTGGGCAGTATAGGGCCTACAGCTATTGTATTGATGCCTGTTTCTGATTGTGTTGTCAGAGATATTCACACCAGTCATTTTGTAGGGCTCATCCTGTTCCTCCTTGCACAAGGGAGCAAACGCCAGTCTGCTGATGGGTTAAGGACCTTCTTTAAGCCCGTCCAGCTTTCCTAGAGTAACTGCCTACCATCTAGAATCCTCTCCATGTTCCTGGAACTGTGCTGGGAAACATAGCAAGCCTTCTGAGAAGGGCTCATATTGGTGTGCCATCATGGAGGAGTTGGACTACCTGTGAAACCTCTATAGCGACCAGGTATTGCCTCATGGTATCAGTTGTGACCCTGTCCCTAGGCAAATGCATAACTAGTGAAAAAACATTCAGAAAACATAAAGAAAAAAAATCTCAGTGGTCTCTACCTGTAAAACCACTCCTGTTTTGGCAGTTGTCTTATTGTTGCCCCTCTAGTGCACCTGTTATTAATTTCATTAACACCAAAGCAGCTGAAACTGATTAACAACCAACCTCTGCTGCTTAATTCACCAGATCAATTAACCAGAAATTTAATTGCACTGATGCTATATTCTGTGGGGTTTTTAATACGTTTTTGAGCAGTATTTAAACATTACACAACAAAAAGATGGGTAAGATAGACACTGCTCACTCTGTGTCATTTGAATGCAAGTCCATTTTAGTATATTTAGTAATAAGTAGCCAGTTTGTTACCTGAGAGTATTCCACTGGGTATAGGCAAGAGTGCTGACGCAGCATAGTGAATAAGTAGTGAACAAACAAAAATTTGATAAAATACATGCATCAAAGGAAGAGTGGATAGCTGTGTGTTTGGCTGACTGGGTGGCTAAGTAGGTAGATGGATGCATGGATGGATGGATAGATGGATGCATGGATGGATGGATGGATGGATGGATAGATGGATAGATGGATGGGTGGATAAGCAGGTGGGTGAACTAATGAAAAGCAGATCTGTGTAATTATGTTTATGTCAAAAGTCACACATGAGGGGAAACATAATCACAAGCAAATTAAAGTAAATTCAACAACCCATGTGCATAGATCTCAGCAGCCACATGCACAACGAAGCCATTGTGCGTAACAGTGTCTACTTTGCAAGCACTGCAGCAAATTCATGGTCTCATAACTTGCTCGCTTGAATTAACCTGAACTGACAGTTTGTAAGGCAGAGCCCTAAGAACGAGGGGCCTTAATATGACTAAATCACAGTCTCAGTAATGGACAGGTGCTGTTTACTGGTTTAAACCAAATTATCCTGTGTGTGCAGCATGCATTATTTACTATTACAGTTATCTTTTGCTGTAAAGCAGTAATGAAATCTGTCAACTGAAGACTACTTTAATGCTCAAGTAATCTTAAAAACCCTGGGACTATAAGTCAAGCTCAGAATACTCTGCACTCCTGTCCCATTAGTCTATTGTACACTATTATATACCTTTTGTGACCATTAAAAACAAATAAATAAAAAGAACACTCTTAATGAGAATCAGGATGCTGCACAAAATAAAGACATATAAACTTGCAAACAAAAAGTTGATTAGTCTGCAGCAAACACATGTAATTGAACCATCACTAAAAGGGAAAGCTTTCAGAAGCCACTGATAAGTCAGTTCATCCAACAGCACACAGTATAAATTACAGCTGTAGTTAAACTGGCAAACTTCATTCATTCAAGTCAACAAATCAAGACAAGTACTTACTGACGTGTAGCACAGATCGATTCTCTCATAGTGATTTTTGATTTATTCACAGAACAATAATAAGACTATACAAAGGCAAATATGTGACTTTCAAGTCCATTTAAAGCTTTAACTCTATTAAATTACATATAAAATAAACCAAATATAATACAGTTTGTACTAGCGTGTGGTGTACACTTTAATGACTCAACAATTATTTAGACTTTAAAGGATATTTTAACGTAGAACATTTGTACTTCTACTTTAGTAAAAGTTTATTTTCACAGAATGTACATATATTGTAGTATTTCTACTTGTATATATGTATAGGATTTAGGATTGAAAACTTCTTCCACAACCGTGAACAGCTGATAATCAACATTACACCATGTGGGCTACACAATTTTGGTAGCCTGTTTATTCATGTTATTTGTAACATAAAACATGCACACAGTTTTCATCCCTGTTTCCCTGCATTTAAAGTATATCTAGGTACCTACCAAGATTTTCTCAATTCTTTAATACTGTTCTTGCTGGTTTCTTTATGAATACTAATCCTTAAACAACAATAGATATTGATGTGTGGCATTTCCCTGTCATTTCAGGTCAAGGGTAGAAGACCAGAATGACTGATCAACAACAGACATAACTAAAATGAAACCATGTGTTAACTAGCACAAAGATTACCACAAACCATGAAAAATTAACGTGAGTTGCAGGCATTCCCAACTGCTTCCACTTTGTTATAATACCACTAATAGTTGACTGTTGAGTATTTATTAGCGAAGAAATTTCACAACTGGACACAGGTAGCATCCCATCACCTGAACTTCACTGAGATCCTGAGAGCAAACCTTTCACAAATGTTCGTAGAAACCATCTGTATGCCTAGGTGGTTGATTTTAAACACCTGTGCCCATGGAAGTGATTGGAACACCTGAATTGGATTGGTGAAGGAATACTTTTAGCAATATAGTTGCTGTTGCCTCAGTGTAACTTGGTGTTAGAGCTGGGCGATAGAACGATATGTATCGCGATATAACTTTTTCTCGATAGAAAAATTAAACTATCGCGATAGACCTCGCCGCTCTTGTCCTCTTAAAAAAAAAAAAAACAGCCAATCCAAATTAAGTAGCGCAGAGCCGAACCAATCACAGCCGCAGCGTCACGTCACGTGACTTGTTACGTACAGCACAAGTGCCAAGCCGCACATGTGTATTTGTTTGGGAAGCAGCCAGCCACCGTACCGCCCGGGTAATGGAGGAAATGAGTGTGCCGACTAGAAAAATCAACCGAGCGTGACCGAAGAGAAAACAGATGATGGTTCCAATGCCGGAGAGATTGTCGAACGGAAGAGCCATAGAAGTTCCGTAGTGTGAAGGTATTTCGGCTATTTCAAGTCTGACAAAAAACAGAGTAGCGTGCACTGTAAATTGTGCCGAAAGCAAGTCTGGAAATACAATAAACTGGTGCATGCGCTACGTCCACACGTACCCGGGTATTTTTGAAAACGCAGATTTTTCTATGCGTTTGCACCTTTCGTCCACACGTAAACGGCGTTTTTGGTCACTGAAAACGAAGATTTTTAAAAACTCCGGCCAGGGTGGATATTTTTGAAAACTCCGTTTTTGCATTTACGTGTGGACTAGAAAAACGGAGAAAACGCAGCGTCAAAGGTGTGCGCATTTTTTGACGTCACACTGTGCGCCACGTTATTGTTTCGGTGAAATGAATTTCTACAATACTGTTACTGTTAATTCTACTCTCTGCAGTGTTTAAATGCTTACATATACACACAGTTACTGTCCTCCACACATACGACTCGGTTCTGCTTCTATGCCCCAGCTTTGTTTACTTTTTCCCACCGAGGCTTCTAGACTTCTGATTGGCCAACATTTCTGCACGGTTAGGAATCTAGCGCCACCTGCTGCTTTGGCATGTTCATAGCAGCGTTTTCCTTCATTTCTGCCTTTATGTGTGGACGGGATTATTTTTTAAAACGAAAACGGAAAATCTCCGTTTTCAAAAATACCCGTGTACGTGTGGACGTAGCCTCAGTCTCTGACTGGAAGCGCTAATTCGTCATTCGGCTTTTGTCAGACTAAAGTAACTGTTAAAACTGTTTGAAAAGCTAGCTATACAACAAGGAGAGATTGAGAATTTCCTTTTAGTTCTCAGTTTATTTGATATTGACAAAAGTTAGTCAGTTTTGTCTGTTCTTCTGTAAAACAAACTAAGATTTATTTTTAGAATTAATATTTTGTTTCTAAGTGGAATTGACAATTTAGTCTGTTTCGTTTGTTCTATTTTGAAACTTAAACGCTTTAGCGGCTGCCTTTTGTGTAGTTTGCAATATTTGCCTTTATTTATCTGAAAAAGTCTCATGTTCCTTAAGTACATCTACCCTGTTGAACTTATTATGGGAAATAAATATTTAAATAAAACAAGCTGCTGATTATTTCACATTTTACTTGTGAGCAACGGCACATTTAAATCTTACAAATATAGTTATTTGGCTTATATCGTGATAATATCGTTATCGCCTGAAATGAAAAAAACATATCGTGATATGAAAAAATCTTATATCGCCCAGCTCTACTTGGTGTCATGCAGTAAACTGAGCAACTCTATCACAAAGGCTGTGGTGGCAATGCTTTGAAAGTGACCAATCAGAATCAGAACCAGAGACACTTTATTCCCCAAGGGGCAATTAAGATTCACACCAGGACTTCTCTTCCTTTGGGTTCTGCCTTCCAAACTGTCAAAAGCAAGACTGCTTTAAGCAAAAATAATTCAGCTTTGAGTGAAGAGTTACCTTCAAGAGTGTGAATGTGCTGCAGAAATTGCAAAGCAGACACTCACGTGCGTGATGGCTTCTTTGTGCACATGGCTGCTGAGTACTACATGCACAATATGATGAATTTATGAGTAAGGGATTTATTTACACAAGTGACAATGAATACCTGCACGTATGAAATTTGGCTTTGATTATGTTTTTTTCTCGCAGGTGACCTTTGACATAAATATGTATACAGATAGAAAACAGTCTAAAGAGACTAAGGATGCAGTCTCTAAAAGCGTATTTGCACCCCACCCCACCATTTAGCAAGCTCTGCCTGTGGGTTATAGACATGGTTCAAATTCTAAAACTGGCCACAATAAAAGTAACTTTGGAAATGAGAATGCTGCTGCATAAAAATATAGTTTAAAAATGTCTTGTTGTTACTTCCAACATTATTTTGACAGGATAGAACGGTGACAGAAAAGGTAGAACACTGATCTATGTGTTATTATGATTATACTAATGGATGGAACTGAAATGAATTAAAAGTCTTGATATTAATGTTAACAGTGGATTAGTGATGGAGCTTTTTTGGTACTGCAATTTTGGTACTGTTGATGACCCTGTTTGTTACCTTTGCAGCTGAGCGATCTCCTGGCTGATGTCATCCAACTCCTTGATGCCAGTGAACTCTCCTGAACCCACTGAACTAGAGCTGTCCTGTAAAAAACAGCAAAAAAGGACAAAATAAGAGACGGTCAAGTTGTCTCAACAAACACGATGAAGTAGGATGATGAAATGGCACCAAATGAGCCATGGCAGAATAGGCCAATGGAAGGAGAAAGAGGTAAAAACGGATAGGAGAAAAACTGAAGGTCAAGAAGAGGAGCAGCACGGAGGTGGGGCTATGTCTATCACCAACATGTGAGGGAGGTGTCACCACCAATGACAACCTGCAAAGGACAGGAAAGATTCAGGACTTTTCAATTTTATCTTCACCTCACCTTTAAAAAAATCTATATTGGTCTACAACAAGCTTCCAGTATTTTTCTCTCTAGCTTTGGGAATTGCAGAGTAACTTAATGGTACTATAACGATGTGTTACCTGCAATAAAAATAAGACAACGATTCTGCAATGCTTTTATGTCTGTGTGACCTATTATGAAAAAAATGCATCTCGGAAGCATTGTGCTATCTTTGTTTTTATTACAGTTATTATGGCATTTAAATAAATTCTATCAATTCAATTCATTATCATCCCAATAATTACTCTCCACACTGTCTGCCATTTATGCTTGCTTTTGATGAGCACCACAATGAAGAATCTTTAGTAAAGACTCTGGAGAGTAATATTGGTAAAAAAAAAAAAATGTTTTAGAGTGCCTGCATGATTTAATATAACATCAGGACAGGATGTACCCCGTGAGAAGCGGGTTACATCCTGGGTACATCCTGGACAGCTTGCCAGTCTGTTGCAAAGCTAACACAGACAGACAACAGACGACCACCCGTGCTCACACTCGCACTAACTGCCTTTGGACTTTTGGGAAGAACCTTGTACTTTTTTGCTGTGAAGCAACCATGCGCCACCATGCTACCCTTGTTATGCTTACATGCTGAGTGGAAGATATGTGTGTTGTCTGATCACACACATTTCACAACCAAATAAGCTTTCAGTGAAGTATTATAAAAAAAAGACTGCACATTTCCTGTCTTCATTGCAAAGATATGACTGGCATTTCTTCTATTAAAAATCCTTCTGAGTGGACCTGTCGTGATGCTGGATCTATGACACAGCATTTCTGTTTCTTCTGCTTTTTCTGGCATTGTTTAGGCTTCTGGTTTAATCATTTGCATTTCTAGTCCAGTTAGATATTTCCTGCTAAGGTTACATTTGTAGTTCTAGTCTTTTGTTTTGGTACTGTCCCTCCCTTGCATTCCACATTTCATGTCTAGTCTCCCTCGTCTTCATGTTTGTTTACTCGCCTGTGTCTGTTTTCTGATTCCTTTCTGTCTTTCCGGTTGACAGTGTTCCCAAGTCTGTTTGATCCCCAGTCCCAGTGTTAAGTCCATATCTTAGTGTGTGTCTCTTGTTTTTATTTCAATAGTCCCTTGTTCTGTGCTTAGTGTATTCATTTTTACTTCCTCCATCGTTGTGTCAGATTACTTCCAGTCGTGTTTCCCATCTTCTCATTATCCTCTGTGTATTTAGTCCTCTGTCTTCCTCTGCTGCTGTCACATCGTCCCACATGACTGTGTATTCTTGTGCGCTTCGTTTCCCTCTTCCATCTCTGTTCCAAGTTTGAGTTTCAAGTTTGTTGTTTCCAGTTCTCTCCCTTTCAGAACTGCCTTAATTCTTCATGGCACAGATTTAACAAGGTCTTGGGAACATTCCAGAGATTTTGGTCCATACTGACATCGCAGTATTACACAGTTGCCTGCTACACAGTCATGATGCAAATTTCCCGTTCTCGCTTTAACTTCCTGTCATGTTCAAGAAACCAGTTTTAGAAGATCTGAGCTTTGTGACATGATATGTTATTCTGGTGGTAGCAGCTATCATAAGACGGATCCACTGTGGTCATAAATGAATGGACGGGGTGAGTAATAACCACTGACACAAGGCAGGATGGATCCATACCGTCATGCTGTTTATTTCAAATTCTGACCCTACCATCCACATGTCGCTGTGGAAACAGAGACTCATCAGACGTGGTAACATTGTTCCATTCTTGTGTTGTCAAATTTAGGTAACCCTGTGTGAATGCTAGGCTCAGTTACTGTTGCCTTCCTATTAGTCTGGCCATTCTCCTCTGGCATCCCCAGTGTTGGCCATTTCTGGCCACAGAACAGACACTCACTAGATACTTTCTCTTTGTCTTTACTTTTCTTTCTTGTAAATCCTAGAAGTGGTTGTGTGGGAAAAGTAGATTAGATCAGTAGAATGGCAGATTCTGAAATACCCAAGCCAGTTTGGCACAAACAAAGCCAATTAATGCCACATTCAGGGTAACTTAAATCACCTTTATTCCCCATTCTGATTCTCAGTTGAACTTTGACGTCTTAAAAAGTGCCACTGCGTAAATGCACGGAGCTGCTGCCATGTGTCTGTCATCAAAGAGTTCAACAGGTGTAATTAACCAAGTGCTTGGTGAGTATATTGTATGTTTAAATAACTGTATCATATATCTGTTTTTGTCATACTGCAACTAGTTTTGCGCGTTCAACTGAGTAGATGATTGCTGAATTGAGTTATTTACTGCAAGACCACAACTACAACTGCTACTAACAGATTTGAGCTTCCTTAAAAGACATCCTCAACAAAAAAGAACCAATTTTTCATCCAGTGATCCTGAATCTTGCCATGATCAAGACAGTTTACAGTGTGAGGCAATCTTACTGTACTGTATCGAAATGGAGAAAAAATTCTTGCAAATGCTTTCCAGGAATCAGTGAAAGCTGAAAGCATTTAGAAAGTAGTATGTTATAAGCCCATGTTACCTACCCACAACTTGAACATTATGGCCTAAGAGAGGAGGAAGAGGCGAAAGGTAGAAACGTTAGCAGCAAAGAGAGGATAGAACAGTGAGCAGTAAATGTCTTTGGTTTCACCAATTTAACCCTTCACAACATTTCCATTTTATTTTGACATGGGTCAGCGTTTGAGTTATTTTCCAGCAGAAGTAAACCACTCCCAAGATAACACATGTAGCGGGAAATATGTACACCTTGCAGCCTGAGAAAGAGAAGAACAGGGAAGTAAAGAACAACTGACTCACCCGCCTCATTTCTGACAGAGCAGCCATCTCAGATCCCACTGGAGTAATGTATCCTGACATACTCTGAAACCACAGAGAAGGTGGTGGTGAAAAACAGCATCACGTCTCTGATGATGGTGTAAAAGTCAAGAGGTTTTATTGTCATTTCAACCAGTGAAATGTGTGTGTGTGTGTGTGTGTGTGTGTGTGTGTGTGTGGTGTGGTGTGTGTGGTGTGTGAGTGCTGTGGTTGTGTGTGTGTGTGTGTGTGTGTGTGTGTCAGTCCAGTCACTGAGTGTTCAGGAGTCTGACAGCTTGGGGGAAGAAACAGTCTGGCAGTGAGGGCCCAAATGCTCCGGTACCTCTTGTGAGAAAGCAGCAGGGTGAAGAGTGAGTGTGTGAGGGGTGCGTGGGGTCTTCCACAATGCTACCGGCTTTGCGGATGCAGCGTGTGCAATACTTATAAACAGCAAACTTCTCTGATGATGGTGTAAAACAGTAAGCAAAGTAGCTTTATTCCATGTAAAAACAGAAACTTTTGAAAACCTTTTAAACAAGAGGGACTTTGATTACATTATGTCCCACCAGAGAAGAAATAATCATGGCTTAACAGTGATGACAAAAGCAAATTTTGATTAAAAAAACAACAACTAGGCTTTAGGCTACAGGTCATTGTAAAATGTATATAATATAATAATAAACTCAACAAACTTGAAACTCATAAACTTACATTTTATTCACAAAGATACTCATGAAACATATCTAATGTTTAAACTAAGAAAATGTTAATATTAGCTCACTTTGAATTTGATGGCAGCAGCATGTCTCAACAAAGTTGGCATGGGAGCAACAAACGCTAACGGGCTAACGCATTATCTTGTTAACGTGTTAGCGTCGTGCAGCCCCATGCACGGGGCGATCCGCGTTAACTCGCTAACGGAGATTTGCCGCGTTAATGCGGTTATGGCGTTAACGTCATTTTAACGATAGTGCACTGACAGCACTAGTTTTTATGTTTTATTGTGAATTAAAACAGGTGAGGTACAACATAGGTCTCACTGTGACAGCCAATACTATATCATGCAAGCTGGGGATGTGAATATGTCGACATTAGCACACCTTTAACAGCTTTGATGATGCTACTTACTGGTAGTGGAGTGCTTCTTTCAGAAGGTGGAATCATATCAGCAGTCAGGGATTGTGGAGGATCAATGCCCTTACTGACTTTCTGCTGGATAAGATGCATGGAGAGGGCAAACTGCTCCCTGGTCAGCTTGCCTATCTGTCTTGTATCTGCTAAAGCCCTGCGAGAAACAACATAATCGACAGAGACACATTCAGTTCATTCAGTTAACCTCAGCTTTTATATTGCAAAGGTTCAGTCTAATAAAAATACAAAGGAAATGAACCATATCAAGTCTAATAGCAACAAAATCCAGCAGCTCCAAGCTCCAAGTTCATTTTTCAATGTCACGTTTGGCACATTTTTTGGGCAGAGCTATGGTACTATAATGATTTTCACCCAGTAATATCTCAGCAAACTAACAACTGGATGTGTCCGTCTTGTTAGCAAAAACTTCAATCAAGGATTTGTGATAAGTGGCAATATCTGCGGAGCTCTTTTTTCTGGTCCTGGAATCTGCTGTGGAGGAATTTTGGCAGCTCTTCTTGGCAGAATTATTTTAATCTTAATTCAGGCACATGAGAGAGTTTTCTGGCGTTTTGTTTTTTTTTAATCATGGTTTGGCGTGTATGACCCAGTACTCTGGATTAGATTTTTTTTTAGTTCTGTTTGTAATTATTGTGTGTTTCTGAATAGTTTGTTCTTTGTTTTGGTAATTTTGAGTTTTCTATCCTAGGATATTTCTCCTCTTTGTTTTATTCTCAGTTTTTGTTGTGTCTCCACCATTTGTAATTTGTTATTATCGCTAACTGTTTATAGTTAATTCCCTAAATCTCATCTTTCCTGCCTCCTGTGTTCCCCTTATCTGTTGACTCTTCGTTTCCTCTATCTTTGCTTAATCTGTGTCTCGTTACCCTGGTGTTTGCCATATCTCTGATTACCTCAGTCTAAGGCCTTAAAGATGAAGACAATAGCTCATCTATAAAGTATTTGTCAGAATTTTCCCAAATGCTTTTTTAAAAACACAGCAATGTGTGTAAACCAAAATGTATGATTCCGGTAGGTCTTGTTTACCTGAATGAATATAGTCATTATTTAAAAACTGCATTTCTTCTTTACTCTAGTTATTACATTTTATTTGATGATCTAAATCAACCAAGACAAATATGCAAAAAACAATTTTTCACAGTACTGTATTTATATCTCTCATAATGGACTGCCAACATTTTCAAACATTTTGCATCACCAATTGCAATTGAAGTTTTAAATATAAAATTCAGTTTTTGTTTTTTAAACGTATCAATTATTGCACTGCTAATTAATAGAAATGATGAATATTAGTGTCTGCAGAAAACTGAGAAGAATTGTGGTTGAGTTCCTACCATATATGGGCAAGAAGAGTCTGAGAAAGTCCAGATTGCATGAAGATCTCCTTTACTTCCTGTCCACTGACAAAACCATCCATGTCAGCATCCGTCTTTAGGAAGATATCGTCATAGCGGCCACGCTCTGACACAGGGACCACCCAGTTCACCGAATGCTGAAAGAGACAAAGACTCACACTGTCATTTTTTTATTTTTGACTCTGAATCAACCCTGTTAAAACTATCTGCAAATCATTTACCTAGACTTGCAACTTTTGCATGTATGATTAACTATGGTTCTCATTCTTTTCAGGAGATCACTTTACATAATACATACATGCATACATACATACATACATAAGCATTGCACATCAGAGAAATGAACCTACAGAGACTTAGAGAGCTCCAACTCTTTAGGTCTCTATAGGGAGTTTGACTGGAATCATCACAGTTTGAGTGCATGAGAATATAAAATAATGGCTCAGTAATGTAGCCTTACCTGCAGTGTTATGACAGTATACTTGACCAAACAGTAACTGCCTGTTACTTTTTAAAGGGTCTACTTAAACACATCAACCTGCATTCACAAGAATTTTAGTAAAGTTGTCCTCAGACTGTCACCAAATCTCAAACTTATCCGAGAGTTTTAATAGATTTAATTTGAAATTCGTTCTGCTAAACGATTCACTGTTTACATCAAGACTTGTTCAAGTTCAACTTAAGTTAACAACTGAGACTTGATGTCTCAGGGCGAGAGCAGGATGGTAAAGAATAAACTCGATCAATAACAAAAGCAGCTGCGCCATTATGGCAACACAACTTTGGCTCTTCGCAAGTATCTCCACAGACAGCATGCTAATGCTAAGCAGGCCAAGAACCTGAATCCTGGCCCCAAAACTTCAACAGGTAACAAACAAATGTATACGTTTCTACCTGTTTGAATTCATTTTCCTAATCAAGGATTTGACCCTTTTCAAGTCCTCTTTAATAGTATCCTTTGTAATTCTAGGCTACTTGGTGCACAATGATGGTGGAAAATATGAATTAACAATTTTAGCATAGCCGATCTGTTGTGATAATGAGAGAAAAGTGAAGCTGCTGATTTACCGGTCAGACTACGTTCCTCACCTATGGTCACAGGCTATGGGTAGTGAAATACAAGTGACAGAAATGAGGCCCTGGGACTAAACCAGGAGTAACTGGAGAGATTATTTCTCTTGGCTAGCATGGGAATGACTTGGTGTCCCCTTAAATTTTTTATAATGTTTATTACCTGTCCAGACTTGAGTGTGTGTTTGGGTGACAGGCTGCCAGTGCTGTTGAGCGAGTTCATGCTGCCGTGGGAGGGTGTGGAACGTAGAGAATCTTTAGGTGGAGGAGGGCTTGCAGGCAGTCCAGGTAAAGAGCTGGCCACAGAGCTGAGACTCTTCTTCCTCTTAGATGGAGGGATGAGAGCAGAGGGGAGGAGTGCAGGAACAGGCTCTTTTTCCAAGGCCCGGTACACCAGGTGCATGGCCTAGGAGAGAATATCAAGCTAATACTACATATTTACTGGTTCACATACTCCTGAATGAAATGAGTTATGTCCCAAACCTGTTATTTTGCCAAAAGTCCAAACATGAAAGCCTCATTAGATTCAGAATTAATTCAATTTTATCTATACAACAAACAGCAACAGTCACCTCAAGGTGCTTGATTGACTTCATCAGTGGCGATACTCAATTCTTGTTCACCTGATTCACATTAAATCTTTTGTCTATTGGGTAATAATGAAAAAACAATCAGTTCTTTCTCTACTTATACTCATAATTCATTTATCTTGTTATTAAAGCTGAGACATGACCATTTTTTCCATATGTTGAAACACTGGCTTGTAGGCACGCACAGTTATTTCCAGCTAGAGACAGTCACACAGCACGAGAGCTTTTTGTACCTTGAGTCAAAATTCTGTTCTCTTCTTTCCTAAAACTAAATTATTTGTGTTCATCATATGTGCACGATCCCTACAGTCAAACATGGGGTTTGAGTTTTCTTTCAAGCAACCCTACAAACCGTTCTCTCTTGCCAGTCATGAACTTGATCTCCAGAATTCCTGTCAACCAGTCATTCACATTACTTGAAACTAGAGAAGCAGTGATCTCTTACCCTTCTCTTCTTATCATTTTGTATTTACTTGGGTTATCATTGTCTAATATTTAAATGTGATAAATGTGCAGAAAAGTTTAAAAACTACTTTTTCAGCTGAAAAGGTTAAAAAGTACTGCATTCTTTCTCAAGATATTTGTAATACAGTTTGAGCGTTAATTTTAACCATTGTGGAGATAAGTATTTGTTATATTCACATAACGTTTCAAAGAAACATATTGTCAGTCAAACTTTTGCATATCAATGTTAATCAGATGAGTATCACTCACCACTGCAAACTCATCTTTGTCTAGATGGCCATCCTTGTCTATGTCACTCAGGTCCCAAACCTAACAGTAAGAAATAAACACGATTAGTGAGATGACCAATGATAATTGAAAAGGTAACTAAAGTACAATACATTCAATTTCTTCAGAAAAAAGACTATTTTCTAACAGTTCATGACATTATTGCGTGCCTGTCACTTGGGAGATAGAGCAGGTCAACTACTAATCAGAAGGTTGGTGGTTTGGTTCTTGGCTGCTCCCAGTCTGCATGCCAAATATTCTTGAACAATACAAGTGGCTCTCCGATGCATGAATGTTAGATAGAAAGCACTTACTTAGAAAAAAACAGTACTTGTATGAGTGGGTGTGAAGCTTTGAGTGCACAGGTAAAGTAGAAAAGTGCTACTTAAGACCCAGTGCATTTACCATTTACATTCATATAACTGAATGTTTCTGAAAGAAAACCCATTACATTCTGCCTTCAGTATTTTAAAGCTTCAACACAAACCAAAACACCATGTTTACGCATCCTTGGGCTTCTTCTTAAGTCCAAAACAAAAATCCTAATTGGACTAAATACCTTCCCAAGGACATCCAGAGGTAGCTTGGAGTTGATTAAGACTGGGCGGACTTTCTCTCCTGACAGCAGGCCGTTGACTGGAACCAGACTTTCAAAAATCCCATCAAATTTATTCTTCTCCTCTGGCTACAAAGCAAAAGACACACTATTTATTTCAAAAGCTTAAACATCTTGTGTTTATTCATACCATAAAGACAAACGTTGCTTTCCCAAATACAATTTTTGGAGCTTGGAGATATGATGGCAATCATCTGCTACAATTTGAGGCTTTGCACAGAGGGGGGTTTCTTAAATGATACATAAGCTAAACATAGCTTGTGCTAAATTTAAAAAAGAAAAATAGTCATGTTATCATAACTAAGCAAAGTTAACACAATGTATGCCATGTGATGCACAAACTCTGAGTGCTGCCGAAGCAAGAGCACCAACAGATTTTTCATTTGTGAAAAAGCAAAGTATCTGAATATTACAACGTTGTTAAGTTTTCAGAAGGATTGCTGCATTAAAAAAAAAATTGTGCATTCTGTAATTAAGCAGGTATATGTGTGATTCTATAACTCTGACAAATCACTCTACACATAAATGAAAGATAATGGATCATCAAAAAGAAAGTGAAGCTATGTACACACTGTAAGGGATCCACAACGATGTGGCAACCACCTACCGTAAAAAGTGAATGTCATTCAGCAGCGTCAAACAATTACAGGCCGCAGCAACAGGAAGTGGGCGGGACCTGAGATAAACTTTTCTAAATTTTCAGGCATGTGACTGAAGTAACTACCAATGAGAGCAAAGAATACAGGTCTTTGTTTTTAATTCAGTTTAATTTTAGTTAGTTGCCAGAGTTTCTTGTTTCAGTTCTATTTTCAATTTTTAAAAACGTTTAGTTTTTATTAGTTTCAGTGTTATTTTTTATTTTATTTATTGAGATATTTTATTTATGAAAATCAGTATAGACATTACACTATAAACATGACTTTTTGAATACAGTCGACACACGTGCTTGTAGAAATCCAAAGCCTGGATAAAAACATCTGTCAAACCTTCATCAGCCAGTTTGAGAAAACAAATTTTGACCACATTAAGGTGATGCTGGAGTGAGGCTCTGGTGACAGGAATAACCCACACTATTTTTCACACCCTCTTTGTCAGGACTCAAATGATCAATAGTCAGTTAAAGACCCTCGGGACCACCTTCAAAGGGGGCAGCCCCCAGTAGGGGTTTATTACCTGGGATTTTACAAACAAAGAAACCTCTTGGATGAGAGGCAAAACATCTTCATAAAACTAAAGACATTGAGTTGCCTTCTTTTCAATCTCTCAAGGCCATTCTGTAATTATTGCTTTACTTCAACATCTCAAAGTCTGCGTCAGTGTGTGTGTGTGTGTATTTGTACACACCCTGACAGCCCAGTGCGATTCAGCAGGAACAGAGGCTGTGCTGCTTAGAGATGGGCTGCTGGTGTCCTTCTGCAATCACACGTTACAGTGATCATTTTCCAACTTTCAAGAAAAGGTTTAATAATATAATGAAATGAAATGAGTATGACAGAGTCTGTTCATCTACAAAATGAATATGAGCAAAATAATTATAATTCTAGTAAGCTGTAGTTTCTGTATACAAAATATGACAGTTTTTGCTCGAATGAGGAATACACTCACAAACTTCGGAGGAGGGACTGTTAGGCTGAGACTGGACAAGCTGACTTCCAGACTGTTCTGAGCACAGGCAACCAGTCGTAGAGCCACATAAAACCCCTGAGTAAGAAAACAAAGTGCTTCCCATTGTGTCCTTCACATGTAGTATTAAAAAGACTTCTACCAATTGCTTTTATTAATTAGAACAACAGTATGTCTAAGAGAATTAAACATATTCTCCTCCATGCTCTCAAAAGTACATTTTTATTACTGTTTCTTTGAACGGTGTGATGTAGATCAATCTGTATATGTTTGCTTTTGTTTATTTACAATCATCTCTAAAACTCTACCTCACCTGTTTGTCCAAGTAGCCTTTGCCATCAGGGTCAGCCAAATCCCAGATCTGAAACACAACGCACAAGTATATGATTAAAGGTAAAATAAACAAATGAAAAGATGAAATGGAAAAATAACATTATCAACCATTAGTCTTACGTTACTGTGGTTTAGCTGAGTATGTGAGCTGTGCCCAGAAAAAACAGGAGGCTCAATAGCATGTGGAAGAACCAAACACAGCCACAACACTCACCCAGTCTTCATGGTGGTCGCCTGCTTGGTCAAACAATACTGTTGCAAGTCAGCCAGTGTAGCTGTGTTGTTCACTCTGGCACAAACAGCACGTCCTGATACCACAACTGTTCAATGGGCCTGAGGTCAGGACTGCAGCGGGCCATTCCCCCCTCTCCACTCTCAAATTCTAATGGTAGTGTCTGATAAACTCCGCTCTACTGGGGTCAGCGGTGGCATCTTGCAGGACATAGTATGGTCCCAGAATGTGACGATATAGGACTGCAACTGGTTGCAGAATCTCATCTTAATATTTCTCTGCATTTTAACTGCTTCCAATTCTGACAAGCCTTCTTATCACAGAGAAAACTGTGTATCACTGATAGAATAGAGACTGAGAGCAGGTCCAGCCTGTTTCAAACTGAGCTGTCCTGCAGTAACAGTAACAAGTAAGTGTAACACATTACTTTTTGCGAGCAACGACCCCAGCAATGGTCACAACCTCTAACATGTGCAAACATTTGACCACACAACGTGCAATCAATTTGCACAAATATTGTCTTTGCTGCTCAGAGATGGTGGTGACTCTCAAAGCGGAGCCGATGAAAACAAAATGAGAATCGACCAGGAATTGAACTGATAATGGAATTGGAATCACTAAATTTATATCAATTATAATCTCTAGTTCCAAGTTTTCCCATTTTGTGGATAATGGCGCTCATTTTGGTTCCCTGGACTGCCAAAGAATTAGCTTTGTAACTCTTTCCAGACTGACAGATGTCAGTGACTTTGTTCCTCCTCTGTTGTTGAAGATTTGTGTCTGTTTGTGTGCACACACATGACAAAGCCTACACAGAACTATATTTTTACTTTCTAGATTAAAATACTGCCAAATGAAGCTGCCCTTAGTAAATGGTTACATTTTCCCCTTATTTTAGGTTCTTGTGGGTTCAACCACAAATGGTAAATACACTGGTTCTCATAACGCACTTTTCTACTCTACCCGAGAACTTAAACCTATCTACAAACTCAACCATCATTTTGATAACAGATGCACAGCTGTGTGAGTGTGCCGACTGGTAAAACTCTAAGAGCCATAACCAGCTGTTACGTGATGTGTAACTTTGGTTACCTACCTTTCCCAAAGTAAGGTCAGGGAGTCCAGACTTTTTTAAGAAAAGAGCAGCTTCTGTTGGTCCTACTCTCCCTGTATTCCCAGGATCCACCTTAAAACAAATCATCAGTGCAGTGTTACATTCCATAGGCATCTCTCTCTTGTACCATCTTTTATATTCTTTTACACAAAATAGGTTGAAGCTTAAAAGTTTTATGTTTTGTGTCATCATCTTACCTGCCTGTAAAAGTTCTCATATACAGGGTTCCCACTGGACAACTGTGACAGAGAAAGAAAGTTATTAAATGATTAACACAGACATATATGACATCTACACTATTCAAAAATCACTTGCTTATCACAGTATAACACCCGGTCAGTTAAACTCAATCTGTCTAGTTAGGAAGAATAAACCATTCTGAATCCATTTTTCTTTCTTTGGTACAAATCAAAGAGACAGCAGGTGCACTGGTGAGGCAACAAGACAACAACCGAAAGGAGAATGGTTTTGCAGGTGCTGGCCAAAGACCTCCTCATCCTTCTTCAGTGATTTTCCAGTCAGTTTTTCTTTTTGTTAGTCTCCTTAACACTACTGGTAGTATAAGACAGCAACTGCAAGTCATTCAGGTTGCAAAGGTAGTTCAGCTCCTCCAGGATGGCACATACCCATATATATCATAAGAAAGTCTGCCATGGCTTTCAGCCTAGTCTCATCTCAAAAACATGTAAATTGTGTCGGCTTTCAGCACCTGACCTCCTCGGGCACTCCCCGTGGAACGCCCGACGAGTTTAAAGCTAGAAATCAAATACCTGAGGGGGTTCTGAGTCAGTCTTTATCTGGATAATTTAAAAAAAATGCGTGTATATCGGATTAATTTTTGTTATTACAATCAGTAGAGATTTCTGAATTACACTGGGGATGCAGTGAAGGGGCTCTGTGAACAACTAAATGCAACTTCTCTGATGATTTGGCAGAACAGAATGGCTTTAGATAAGATAAGATAAGATAAGATAAGATAAGATAAGATAAGATAAGATAAGATAAGATAAGATAAGATAAGATAAGATAAGATAAGATACCTTTATTAGTCCCACGAGTGGGAAATTTCATGTTAAGGCTGCCGACCAATTGCACGCAGTGGCGGCACCATCTTACCCTCCGACCATACATACATTGCATGAAAACATCACATGGGGAAGACAGGTCAGAGAGGTATAACAATGGAAAATGCACCACATGAGGAAAGATAAGGAGAAAAAAAAATAACTCCCCCCAGACTGAGCTCCAACAGGGAGATCAGTTTGAGAACAGAAAAAAAAACATCTCTGCACATGAAAAAAACTCTTAATACACCAAAGAAACACGTGACAAGCAACAGGGGTGGGTAAAGGATGAGAGACAGCCAGTGTAGACAGTGCATCTGGGCCTGCAGCATATGTGCTGGTCTTCTTGATCCACCGTCAGCATCGGAAGGGAATAAGCGTCGAAGGCATTTGGAGGGGGAGGGGGGATGAGTGTATATCTGCATGTGTATATATATATGTCTGTGTGCGTGTGTGTGTATGTGTCCAGAGTTCAGCTGAGACAGTGTCCTTCGCCCTGGCAGGCAGAGAAGGGCAGGGTATGCAGGATGTTCAAGGCTAGTTGTTGCACGTTTATCCCTAACAACACGCCACCTGATGACACTGTGATTCGAGCATTAGAGTAGCTCACCACCCTTGCTGATGAATGGGCCGAGCATTCGGGATAAGCGACCTGCAGTTGCAGTACAGTGGCCTTGTTGACTGTCTGCAGATGCTGCTTCATTCCCTAAATGAGAAAATTGGTCCAGAGACTGATTGACACTACTCTAACCAAGACGGTCTACATGTATCACCAGATAGGGCAGAAAGAGAACGACTAAAAAGATGACCTATGATGACGCTACTGAAGTGTGATACAATAATGACAGTTCTGTTAAAAGCCCAGACAGGACAGAGATAAGCCTGATGTATTAGCAGAAAAAAAAGAATGCTTGGACACAGCTAGCATAATAGACAGGTTTTTGACAGGGCTCCCACACAAACGCAAAACAGAAGATGAAGCATTGCCAAATATGCTTCCAAACCAAAGAGGAGAAGCCTTTGAGTACACCTGTACAATGGTGGGTAATGAGCAGAGGCTGCAGTGTGTTGTCTGTCTTAAAACTGCTACCTTGAGACAGTTTAAAGCCTAACAAGCGAAGATCCCACTTGGAGACAAAACATCTAGAGCACAAAGACAAGTCAGTTGTCTTTTTCAGACAAAAACTTGTGAATTGTTGTGCTCAACAGTGTCTATTTACTATTATTGTCTGTTCCGGACAATTCTCAGCTCAGCTTCAACAAAGTTGCCTACCAAGTGGCACAGTGTAAAAAAAACCACACACTATTGAGGAGTAATAAATACTTCGCTGTGCTATGGATATGGTTTCAACTATGACTGATGACACAACAGCCAGCAAACTACAGGCTATTTATGATATCTGAAAGGACACAGAGGAGCAGCTTAAGGTGTGTGACAGCCACTTTGCTCTACAAATGGATGAAGGCACTGAGAGTAACAAACAGGAGGACTTTGTGGGGATCTGCAGACTAGACTAGCAAGCTATGGCTGGGAAATGAGGAAATGTGGACTCATTTGAATTTGAAATCATTCATTGACAACAACAAGCTGCAGAACACAGTGATCTCATGCATGAAAGAACACATGTCTGCCCTTCAGAAACATTTCTTGAGATATTTTCTGGTGCCGGATTTTAAAAAAAGGATGACTGGATCCGTGACCCCTTCAGTGCAACACCACTTGCTGGCTTCAACACATCTGAGGAGGAACAGTTCATTTATCTCACCTCTGATTCAACAAAGAGGATGCCGTTTAAGTCAAAGACACTGGCTGCATTTTGGATTGGAGTGGAGAAAGATTACCCACTTTGACCATACATCTTCCTTTTGCAACATCCTACTTATGTGAGGTAGGCTTTATGCTGTGGCTTCAATCAAGACAAAATACAGATCAAAGCTGGGCATTGAATATGAACTCGGAGTAGCAGTCTTAACTGTTACCCATGTTTGAGAAGATCTGCAGCAACAAGCAGGTTCACACCAGTCACTGAAAAGAAAAAATATTTAGCCCGTTTGTGAACCACTGCTTTACACTAAGCTTAAGGAATGCATCCCTCTGGACCATCTGGGTAATGCGCTACCAGAACTTTTTCTGTAAGTGGAGACATTTATTTCTTACAATTTCAGTCTAAAGAGTTGTGCTGACAGATTTCTTTCTTTGCTGCAACAGCTTTTCATTTATCATGTAGAAAAACAGTTATATATTTAACTTCTTTACACTGACAGAAAGGGGAGTTTCACTGGACCCACTTAAGGTGTAAAAATGACTTTGACACCTCTGACATAGAGGTAACACATCTGTGAATGTTGTGGACAAAAATATATGGCACTTAAAAGAAATACAAATAGAATCTGAACTTGGGATTTTTGGTTTATTATCATCTGGTGTGGATTATTTCTGTTGTGCTTTTGTTGAGTCAAATCGTTACCAGTAAAAACTATCTGGAGTATAGCTAGCTAACTCTGATGTGATGCCATCTTTTCACACAGACCTCGTACGGTTTGTAACCATCCCACTTTGTTATCCTTCATCATAAATGCAGGTTTAGAGCATACATACATAGTATTATCTACAAATTTGGTAATTTAAGACACTGGTTGTCTCAGTCTTTTTTATTTTGTTGGCACAAACCGAAATCACTATATGATCACACTGCCAATATATACAGCAGAATGCAAATGATAAAATGTGTTACACATAGTAAGGGGAAAGTATTGTGGGTAATCATCAGAGTAACAGGGGATTAACATAGAGACCTCACACTGCATCACCACAATAATTAACAATCCCAGTTTGTTATCCTTTGTCATCAATGCAAACACTAAATAAAGGAGCTGTTACTATAAAATGCTGCTCCAGTTCACCCATTTAGACAGCCCAAGAAGGCATCACACAGAGGTCACACTACCAGTCTGTGATAAGGCCAGAAGCTTATTTAGTAGGCAAGCTTCAGAAAAATCAGTGAGGAGGCATAAGGAGAGAGCAACAGTCTGTGGTCACCACCTGTAAAACCATTCACTTTCTGGGTTTTGTATCATTATTGTCTCACCAGAATCACGGCCCCTTAAGGCGACTGTTGTGATTTATATAAATAAAACTTAAACGAAATAGAATTCATCATCCATCCATCAAATGCAGCTACCACTATCACTGTATTTTAAACGACATTTTTTTTCTGCCAGCTGAAAGAAACCAAGCAAAAATAACCCCAGCAAGTAAAATATTTTTGCCTGACCCTTGGGGCCTCCACACTCCATAAGGCATTAGTTTTGGATAAGATGAAAAAGAAGAAGAAGAAGAACTGAGGAGAATTATTTCAGTGCAGATAGAGGACGTGCATATCGCAACATAACAGGTCATTCAAATATATAACATATAACGCTTCTCTATTTTGCCATTTAAAATCCGTTCATTCATATCATATCATATTATACAACTGACGTGCAAACTCGGCAAGCAAGACTATCATTAGCGTGGATGCTATCAGCCTCGACATTAACTCCCACAATGAGAGCTAAGAACCGTTTTATTTCGGCATGATGAATCTTAAACAGCTCAATGCACAGCCTGCTTGGATGAGCGTTTATCCTCATCCTTGCAGTACTAGGCTAGGTTAGCTAGGGCTTGCTAGCTCGACGAGTGAACGTTATTATAGTTTATGGACACTTTTTTCCATTTACGCTCCACTTTGCTGTAACCTTATGTACAGCTTTCGTGGTGCTTATTGTCTTAAACGTATAATAATAATCGGGCGACTGCATATTATATATTTCGGGCGTAGGTAAATGGCCACACTGCTAGGTACTGCCAGCTGATGCTATCCAGCCCGCTACCTAACGGTACTGCAATAGGCCTTTCTTTCTACTAAGCTGCCTGCCTCATTACCAGCTGTATTTAAAGAGGAACTCGTCTTCAGTTCGCAGTTACATTAAAACCGACTGCCATGAATCACGTATATTGTATCACGCTTCGAAAAATCCTATGTCTGATCTAAACTATAAGTCATATACTACGGCATCTTTACCTGGGTTAGAGATGTGAGGGCTGCCATCTTCCCTGTTGCTCCGGGAACGCACCCAACGTTCCTCTCCAAAACATGACCCCCCCGCCCCCTATTGGACAACGCCACGCTTCCCTGCATAAACGGAAGACAGTATTGAAGCTACACTTTGAAATTCTACATTTATCGTTAACGTGAATTCCTCGACGTGTCACAAATATTTTACAACCAAAAGCACAGATGCGCCTTTTCTGTGTGTGTTTGTGTGTTTGCTGTTAAGTTTATCAACTCCGTTTCAAATTTTATCAGAAGAGGTCACATATGAGGTCATGTACAATCTGATGCCTGATTTATCTGCGATGAGCCTTTGTAGAGCTACGACGTAACCTACGTAAGTGATGCACTTGTGTTGGTGCATTACGCGTTAATTAACAGCTGATAGAGATAAATAACCAGACTTTTTCCCACCGGTGTCCGCGCTTTCTTATGGTAAGGTTTTTTTTTGTTTGTTTCATTCTTTTAGGAGGCAAACACATTGTCTATCTAGTTTTTCTACTTCTTTGTAGATTCCCTCACGTCCATTGTTGCAGCTTAAGCACCCTCCTTCAAGAATATTTGTGACTTTTTATACTGATGCTAATACTAATTACAATAGTTGCGGGCTTCATGGATCGACGTGTTACAGGACGTGTACGTGAAGTTAGCGTCGTACAGATCAGAGGGGTTTGTTGCCTGATTTCTGAGCTACATCGATCTACGGAAATCTACGTCGTTGTCGCAAGAGTTACCCCTACTGGCAGTTAAGGAGAATGCCAGTTTAAGGTTCCCGCAGTCCAGCTTTGATCTGTATTTTGTCTTGATTGAAGCCACAGCAGAGGCCACAAGTAGGATGTGGCAAGAGGAACATGTATCAGCAGGGTTCTCTTACCTAGAAATATGTTATTAATAATAATGTATACTTTATTGAAATTACTCCTCTGCATTTGACCCATTCACTCAGTGAAGCAGTGGGCAGCCACTAAGCAGGCGCACGGGGGAGCAGTGTGTAGGGACGGTACCTTGCTCAGGGGTACCTCAGTAGATTTGAACCCCTAACCCTTCCGATCATGGTGCGACAACTCTACCTTCTGAGCTATTCCTTGATAGATTAATCAGCAGATCAATCACAGAAATTATGCAATGCCTGCTTGCAGTAATATAGTACACACAAAAACAATATTGATGACAAAATATCACTATTCATTTTTTAAAAGCCATTTAATATACACAATGCATAAACAAAACAAATAAAACCATCACAACTACTTCTCAACTCGTACATTTAAGGTTGGTAGTAATTCTTATAGACCCGAAAAAGAAAACAACAGACAAATTAACACCAGAGAGATGCCACAATGGCAGTTTGATCAATCCTTAATCCAAAGGCATGCCATAAATAAAACTCTTTTGCAAGGAACGAGCTAAGGAGCATTTGTCACAGCAAAATACAATTTCTCGCTCACATCGTTTATCCCATTAACAACACTACAGAACAATCGTGTGTCTAAACACAAGCACACTGGATGCTGAAAAACGACTTAACATTCCCATTTCTTTTAGTCCACTTTTAAATGAACACTGTTTGTAAAATAAAATGTGGTGAAGTCTTTGACCGTAAGGCATGGAGGAACAGCAGCCTAACCCTTTTCCAGTTTCAAGATGCATAGAGGATGTGATATGAGAACACTGAACAGAAAATGATTGTTTAAAAGAAATTCATGGATTCTTTGTTTGCAAAAAGTTTCACATTTTCATATTTTTTTCCTTTATGGCTACATGAATAGTAATGTAAGGTCCAATCTAACAAAACTGGTAAAAACAAACTAGCTAAAACCTCCTAGAAGTTTATTCTATGCTGAAAAAGCACATAAACATAGTTTTCCCTGTAAACTTAACACAGTACAAACCTAAAAAGGCTTTCTTGTTGTCTTGGTGAATGACAACAAACGTAGTTAAATGGGTAGTGAAGTTAACTGCTCTATTATATAAGACCAATGAATGCCTACAGTTTCTTATCATTTCTCCAACACAAATGTGAGAATGTCAAATTAAAACAGCAATCATTGAGAGTAAATAAAAAATAGGAGTCTCCCTTGGGTCAGCTGGGGAAAGTATCGTGTATATTTCTGTACTTTCAGGATTTGTCTGCTCTATGAATCATCCTTAAGTTTATTTTATTGACTGAAATTTATAAATTAATCCTTGCCCCTAATAATACATAAAGTAAAATATTACTTATCCAAACCATCAAGAAAAAATGTTACTAATAGATGCAGTTTGTACTAATAATGTAATGACACTAAAATAACGTGACTCAATCACACCATCACAACAAACTGAAAAAAAACACCTTTAAGTCAAAATGCAGGGCACAAGAGCAGACTCAGGGAGGAGCTACTAAAACCTCAAATGCTTGGTGGAGAAGGAAGAGGAGAAGCAGCAACAGCAGACATCACTGTTTCTTTATTTGCCTTATTATCATTATTATCGACTGTCCCCAGAGCTTTCCTTAACAAGGCAACAACAGTTTAACTGCACTTGTGTGAGTGATTCATTCTGACTTAACAGGTGTCTTGTGGAAAAGGAGTTTCTCTAACCCTAATTGCAGGGACTCTTTGTGACATTATCAGATGTGCATTTTCAATGCAACAGACTGAGTAAGTCAGTCATCAAAAAGACAAAACTTTGAGATAGTCTCGACTTGTAAAAGATAGAGGACACTAACATTTCTACATTTAATTAAAATGTAAATGATCTCAATTAAAAACATTTTATCATTTCTCCTTTTTGGGGAACGGTTGAATAGGTGTCAACATTTCAACTATCCAGCTGTGAAATTCAGCCAGCTTTTACACATCTACATGGTCAGACACCAATAGAAGAATTTGCAAAGACTTTTTGCATGGACAAAAGAAGCAGCGGAAGTGACAGGATCCAATATGAGCTTTGATCTAAATCAATAGTAGCTTCCAAGCAGTGAGGTCAACAGTTTTAGTCAAATGTTCAGGGAACTCCAACATGTAGGTTCGCATGTTGAAAATGCATTTTTTTCTCATTTATGTATTACCTTACTTTACACATGTACAGTAGTTTAACGTGTTCAACAGGCAGCCTGTGAGCTCACTGCAGAGGAAATCCTCTAACTTAAATCCTGCTGGCCTGTGATGTAGGCTGTTTGCAAATTTACTGGTGGGACTTCTGTCAGTGTGGTCACTCAATACAAGCATCAGCAGTAATGATGTAGTAGCAGTGAGGCAATGCTCAGTGGTAGCACCTATGATGATCATCATAGCTGAATGAAGAGTAGGCAGCGCAACTAACTTTGAACACCATGTCATCATTGTCATCATCATCATCATCGTCATTTAATGGCCACAGTCCCATGGTGTGAAAAGAAATATCCCCTTCCTCTCCTGCCCTTGTTTCTCCCTGGCAGACTTGCAGTGGTGTCATCCACTCTGCAGCCCTCTGTTGAGCAGTGATGAGCCCGGTGATGCGGGCTTACTCATCGTCCCATGTTTGCTGTAGCAGGAAGTTAGCAGCTAGATTCTCATTCTTCTCACAAGCAAAGTACGCCTGGATGACTAAACCTTCAGGGAATCCCAGTGCTTTTAACTGGAAAACAATGTCATTGACATTTTCAGTCCTCCTTTCACCTTATGGACAATTCAACAAGACTAATAAATGTAAAAACACACCTACTATAAAACATTCATGCTCGTGTTCCTGCATTTATGCATTCATTTGTTGTTTGAAAAATTAGATGAAGAAAAACTATTAAGTATACATAACTGCTTGACCAGAATATTGCAGAATAATGCCCTTCAAATTTGTATGTTTTCCAATGTGCATATTTAAGAATTTGTTTCATTAATGCTAACAGAAAAACATCAAGGATCCAGCAACATAATTTTCCATCACTGATGTTTCAACAAAAGTCATGGAAATTCAGTAGCAGGTTGTGTTCAGACTGATTTCCTTTCATATGTTTAAAAGAGAAAACTATTTGTTCCTAGGCTTGTGTAATTCTGCACAAATTGTGGAAATTTGGTGGAACTGACTGTGTCAATGTGACTGGCAAACTCACCCTCTCAATTGCCTCTTTCTCCTGTGGGGTGACCTGGATGTAGTTAGTGTGTGGTGACCCATGGGCATCAGCATCTTCTCCTCCTGTATCTCCAGCTTGTGGCTCATTCAGCATCTGTACAAAACGCTCCTGGTGCTCTGTGATTTGCTGCAAGTTACACAGTTGAACTGTATATCAACCACCCAGTTTAGGCAAACTACAGTGGACATGGTAAACAATTAGTATAGTCACTTGGGGGGATTTTACGTCGCATTAACATATCAGAGAAATGTTTCCTGAAAAATACATTTACAGATTTATTTCTTTATTGTTCTTACTATTAGGAACAGTTCTTTGAGATACCTTAAACAGTCAAGCAGAAATTATATTAACAGACCCTGACAGAACGCCACTAGAGAACGGTGAGTTTTGTGGTGTGGTACCTGCAGCAGCTGTGGGTTGTCTCTCCCGAGCTGTTGCAGCAGGGCTGGCAGGAGGGCTGGGTTCTGCTGGATGATCTGTCTCATCTGCTGGAACTGAGGCTGGTTCCTCAGGAACTCCAGAGGGTTCCCTATGGAGCCAGATCCTCCTCCAGCAGTGACAGGCTGGCTGCTGGACACAGGCCCTGCTCAGGAGGGGACAAAATGTTAACTGTTGCTATTCAAGAAGAGATTACATTTTATAGGATACAATGTAAAGACAGTAAAACCAAACAGTGAAGTCTGTTCTGAGAGTGGCTTCATAGTTCTGTCTTGGTGCACGGTTTTGCTAAACCAGAAAGACTATCATGAGAAAATTTTGTTACTGCTCAGTGACAAAAATACTTATGAAGCCCTGAAACGAGACCCAGGAAGTGGTTAGGAAGAGGTTGATAAGATTGTCTGAAGCAGTTGGAACAAGACAACCATATCTGTGTAGCTAGCCACAATGTAGCACATTATTATATACCAGCTAGCCCAAATTCAATAACCCTACAAATGTCACGACTGTTTAGTTTTCTGTCTTCCTTTATGTCAAAAGTGATAGCAGAGCTGTACGTTTTAATTTTTCAGAAATTCCTCAATCAGAACATGATATATCATCTTTAAATGGAAACTAGCCAGCTAACTCCTTGCTAACTTCATAAATTCTGTTTTCGTGGATGTCTGGATGTCAAACTTAGTTGTTTCACCTTGTAGAGCAGCCACACTGATCATATTATTAAAGATGAAATAATTTAAACAGTTTGTAACTCTCAGTGATGCCACAGTGTTCGTTTGACTTTGGGACCTGAAGCGGAGTTTGGACCCAGGAGCGGCTAATGACAACAGACTTAAAGACCGGATACCCAGGGGATGCTTCACCAAGTTTGTATGGTTTACATAAGACACATAAACAGGGTGTACCTTTAAGATCAATTTTCTGTATGATCAACTCAGTCATCTATAACAACTCAAAGTTTCTGGTTTCGATCCTTAACCCGTTGGTAGGCAGCTCTGAACACCACATCCAGAACACCTTGAATTTTGTTGAGAAGGTGAGAGACGTCATTATGGAGGCAGATAAAATAATAGTGTTGTACGATGTTACATCTCTCTTCACTTGTGTTCCAGTCACTGAAGCAGTGGCGGTAGTTTGCAAGAGATAACAGGATGACCCCAACCTGAGCAACAGGACCACTCTCAGCACCAATCAAGTCTGTTTGGTCTTGGATCTGAGTCTTAATTCCACCTATTTCACATACAAGGCTCAGTACTACAGGCAGAAACATGTGTGTGCCTTGGCTTCCCCAGTTTCACCCATTGTCCCCAACTTGTACATGGAAGAAGGGGAAAAGAGGGCTCTGTTATCCTACCCTGGAACACCTCCACGTCATTGATTATGTGGATGACACCTGGATGAAAATCAAATCTCAGGACGTACCACAATTCAATAATTACGCGTGAACACATCAAATTCACCACGGAGGATATGACAGGCTAGCTGTGAGATTTCCATCTGTAATGGGGGACATTTAAACGTTGATGTGTACCGTAAACCAATGTATACAGATCAGTATTTAAGGTTTGACTCTCATCATCCACAGGAGGCAAAACTTGGTGTCTTTCTACATGATAAAGAAAAAGTTGCTGTGAAAAGAAAGAAATCTGTCAGCATGACTCTTTTGACTTAAATTGGAAGAAATAAATGTGTAAACTTACAGAAAAAGTTCTGGTAGCTCATTGGCCAGACTGTCCAGTGTTTTGGTGTGGGGTTTAACTGTAGTCATAAAAAACAGAAATTTCTGTAGTAGAAAGTGAAAAACAGAAAGTTTTCTGTCATATAATTGTTTATTTCTTGATTCCTTTGTGTAGTATGAATGGTCATAAGGGAGATTTTTATCAATAGTAAAAACTGTAAAACTTATGGAAATACAGTTAAAGGTCCAATTTTATTAAACTCTTAAAAGTCCAGTTAAAAATCAAACAAGAAGAATTATAAATGGCTTCAAGTGTATATTCAGACCTGTGAGACTTCTTTAGACACTCAAAACACTGAGATATGGCTCTGTGGTACATGCAGACATTTCTGCATCAAAGACGCTTTGTATAAAGGACAAATTTGGTCAAGCGAAATCCCTTCTGGAGAAAAGTTTTATAGTCAGATCAGAAAAAAAATATTTTGACACAATGGCAAGAGGAGTTGGAGGAGTAAAAGTGAGACTTTCACACCTAAGAACACTGTACCGACTGTCAAGCACGGTGGTGGTCTTACCATACTGTGGGAATGGTACTGGTACACAGCACAAAGTGGAAATAGTAAAAAAGTGAAATAATCTAAAAACGAAATACTTCCAAATTCTTCCTCTGATGATGTTGAAGTTCCACTAGTGATAAAACGTTAGTGGTGTGCAGAATTTTTGTGGACGTTGTGTAGCTTTAGACCACAGTTATTCCAGTTGTATTCCATCTTGGCATCGTTTCCGTGTCCCCAGGAAGTTCATGCGGAGGAAACAAGCTGCCTTGTTTAAAACAGAAAGTTAAAGAGAAGTAAAAATAAATAAATAAATTGGGCTCTTACTACTGGGGGGTGCTGGGGGCTGCTGTGGTGGTTCTTCTGTAGAAGGTGTAGAGGGGTTGGCTGGAGTACTATGTCTACTTGGTTGTGGATTGTGCAGATCACTAGCCCTTGCTGGAATACCCTGCAACACATGAACAGTTACTGTATAGTTTACAATACAGCTCAGCATGATTATGAAGCTGGTTAAACTCTCACCATGAGCAAGTACTCCACTGCTCTGTCTGGGTTGTTGTAACTGGCTCTTAGTGCAGCAACAACTTGCTCCCGCTCATATCCTATCGACATAATCTCTGACACCAGGTTTTCATATGCTGGTCCAGTCACTGTGGTAACAACAAGAGAGGTTTTTAGGGGCAGGAAAGTTGACCTGAACCTAGATGAAGTGCGCAGGTTGTTTTTGTGTTATTTGGCACAGTAGATATATCAATAGAACTAAATACAGAATAGTGCTACTTGAAAGTCTGTAAATCTGTAAATTAAGAGTTTTCTACCTAAACAGTCCTAGGTCCTTCTTGAGTTATCGCATTTGCAAAATTTTCAGAAAACCTAACCTCTGGCCTTAATATTCAAACTTGTCCAAGATTTCTAGTACTTGAACCTATGGTATAAATTTACATATTTTAATTTGCCTATTTCTCCAGTCATTAATTTCACAAACTTGTGCGTCCACGCTGCCTTTTTGTGCCTCCTCTTGTCTCTATGCAGCCTCAAAGAGATACAACCTCAAATATATAAAAGGTGGGATGTAATTTAAAATGTAAAATTAAGTGGAAAACAATGATCTACTAATCTCAAAAACCCATATTAGGGCTGCACAAGTCATTGAATTTTAATCTCGACTTCAATATTTTGGTTTCTCACAGTAGAACAAACGTGATCAAGCAATACTAAAAACAAATGCTCCAATACCCCAGTGTTGTTTAGTTCACTGCAGAACACATTTAACTTATTCTAACCAATGAAAACACAGTCAGTGTAATTATTGTATGACGGCCAAGAAAAACAGTGCAGGGGTTGTTAACATGATCATCCAGCAGCATCTATTAAAATGAACCTGTACGTCACAATATCCACAAATATGCACTGAAATCACCAAGGCAATCACAAAAAGTCATATTCATTAAACATGGTGGGCAACAAAAGCTGTAGGAAAATGGTCAACATATTGAACGAAAGCTATGTTACCCATCTTTTCCAAAGTGGAAAAACCTCCCAATATTGTGGAAACGACTAACCATTTTCATTCAGTGGTTGGTTTGGTTGTACAGATTATTGCCTATTATCTAAAAACTCAGAAATAATACTGGTCCCTCTTTGACCAGAATGGAGGCATTTGAGAAGGCTGCTTCTACTTATACATTGAAAAAGAACTGGAGTTTTGCCTCCTTTTTATGCAAAGTACACAGAACCATCAGCACTGATTTATTTTCTAATGGAATTATGTCATTCCAATTTAATCTTAGCTGTGGTACCAGGGAAGGTTTACCACCGTCACCATTAATATTTGACCTTTAACAACTGCTTTCAGTATGCTGACAACATTCTTCTAGCTTCAGTAATCTCCACACAGCAGCATCTGAGATCTCGTTTATTACTGATTCCAGGGTAGCTCAGGATATGCAGCACGTCACCCACTATGTATGGAAGGTTGGTGGTTTGATCTCTAGCTGCTCCGGTCTGTGTGCCAAATGTCCTTTGGGAAAATACTAAACCCTAAGCTGGTCTCCGATGCATCACAGTATGACTGTGTGTGAATGTTAGATAGAAAGCACTTACACAGGAAAACGTGTGAATGGGTGAACCAGTTCATTTTCCATTTGATCCATTCTCTGAAACTTCTGGTTGCATGATTAATTGGACTGTGTCAGAGGTCATGCCACTACCAGCACAGTACAAATGTATGTCATCAAGTGTGACAGCAGTTAACCAGGTTTATTAAAAAAATATGCAACCCAAAATTCCCACTGTTATTCAGGCTACTCAATCAGCCATTCAAAACTTGGCTAATATGCATACATCTCTGTTGGGTAAGATCAGTCAGGGCGGGATGGCTGTTCCTCCCACAATGCATCTTATTATATCTATATGTTAATCAGTAAAATACTAGTATAGAACTATGTGTCGACAAAAAACAAAAACAAAAAAACAAGATTTTACTAAATAATTTTAAAATAGTTTTTGTATGAGTAGCATTTATGGACCTTATCAAAGATATTGTCTGAAGAGGATGCTGATAACCCAACATAAAAAAAGACACACAAATGGATGAATGAGAAAGAAATTACAAGCCTGGGAGTGATGTCTTATCGTTTTGCTTTTTGTGATTAGTGACTGTTAGTCTTTGTTCTTTGGTTTACTATTAAAGATAGAAAACACTTTGAAGAACATATTTTTTTAAAAGAGAAAAAAGGAGCATTACATCTTTCCACCTGTTGTGATCATTTCTGATAAAACAGCAAACAGTGGACAGATCAACTGAAAGAACATCTCCATGATGTCAGGTCAGCTAGATGATACAAACTTTCAGATACTGTTCATTTGCTTTGGAAAGTTTTTAGGACTGCAACTTCTGCTTTTGTTCTCCACTTTCCAGTGAGATATGAAACATTTTTGACTAAGAAAACACGTTATTGGTGCAAAAATACTTGCATATGGTTCCAGTTTTGCCATCTTTGGATTTTTTGTCATACATCCAGCTAAAAAAATGGAAACAAATTTTGTGTGCGTGTGTGTGTGTGTGTGTGTGTGTGTGTGTCTGG